CCGCTAGATGGACGCCAATTTTTTAGTCCATGAAATGGGCTATTTTTCTATTTTCTTTAATAATGGTCATAGCAGGCTATAATTAGGTTCGTTCGAGTCCGTAGGCGACAAGGAACAATTTGTATATCTCAGAATTTCGGAAAAGTCCCTATTTTTTGAGAAAATCGAAATTTTAGTTTTTCGTAGTTCCGTCGCTCGCCGCTAGATGGCGCCACCTGTACCGTTTTGGACCAAATTCGACAAAAATTGATTTTCTGGCTTTATTACTCATCAAAACGCATCAAACCCTAATAGAAATTTGTTTCTAAATGCCTCAGGAACCATACTACGTCGTCAAAGCGCCGAAATATTCATTTTTTTATTTTGCGTACATGTGTTTTCGGACCCTTATTTTTTAGGTTTAGTTCACCCGTTTTGCCGCTAGGTGGACGCCAATTTTTTAGTCCATAAACTGCACTATTTGTAACGTAAACAAATTTAATTTTTACATTGAAGTCTATGAGGATCAGTTTTTTCGGTAATTATTCCTCCGTGGCAAGTCTGATTTAAAATTTTAAAGTCTAATTTAAAATTTTTTTTTCTATGTCCATCTGGATGTACGAACGCATGTGCGTGCAAAATTTGATGAGAATTGGTTGAGTGGTGCAAAAGAAAAACGCGGGCAGAGAAGTTGGAAAATCAAGTATAAGAGCTTCGCCCGCCTTCGGCTCGCTCGCTCAATAAAAACATATACGCTTACAAGTTGGAGGAATATTAACTAGCTTCCTCTACGTGTATCGCATACTTTTAAAAACCGGAAGTTCTCTTAGGAGTATCGATTACATCGATTTTTATTATTTCCTTCTTTTGAGTGTATAAATTTTTAGCGCTCACGTTTCTTCAAGAGGTGTGTCTGATCTTTAATAAAAAATGTTTGAAAATCATTTAAGATTTATATTTATTGTAACAGATGTATATCTATAATATTAATACAAAAATTTAAGGCTATTATAAACTTTAATATGTATAATAAAATTATGTTTTTTAGTAAAGTAGTTATTTTACTGGACGATTAATTAAAATATTTCTGCAGATGAGTTGTAATTTTTGGATGGAACACCCTAACAGTAAGGGAAGGTTTTAATACTTGAAGCAAACACGTGTATACACGTACAGAACGGTATTGCGTGAGGCGCCCTACAGCTCCGCCTACTATTCTAATAGAGTCTCCTTGTCTGTCATGTTACTTATTCATGGAAGTGTGTTGCAGAACAAGTCACGTGTATCGAAGGGCAAGAAGGGTGGCCAAAAAAGGGGGAGAGCAATATAAAGGTCCTTTTCATTGCAAAAGAAAACTGAGCGTGGTGGAGCACGAAAAATTCTATGTCACGTCAAGTATCATTTCATACGGACACAGAATTTCGTTAAATTATTCCAAAGGACAAAATTCGCCTTTCAAAGAAACAACGTAAGAACATGTATCGACCGAAAACAATTCTAAACATTTAGCGTGTCACGAATCTTAAAGTTTCCGATGGTAATTATTTTGTTTAATCGCAGCCATTTAACGTACAATTGAAACAAGATTGATTTTATCAAGACGAATAAAATTGCGGTTGCGTAGATCGAATCATATAGACAACCGATGCAGGTGCAGCGAATATACATATGCATTTGTGTAATGCAATACGGTACGCTTTAGTTGTGTAGGTACATACGACTTATCGCATAATCCAGACCTCTTGCTAGCATGGCAATAATGCTCGTGAATTTTTTGATAACTCCGCATAGCGTGCTTGAATGATCCTTAACTACATCTGCAAGCAGTTCTAAATTTAACGTGTTGCTATATCGAAGAATGAAATCGATACAGAAAGGTTCGATCAAGACTAAAATGCACCACCATTTTTGCCTGCAAAATACCTATACCGCCATTAATGGACTAAACAAAGCTACATTCGTCACTTGTCAATTAGTAGGAAACTTCAAGCAGTTAATATAAGAGTGAGCACTTATACACCGTAGTTCTTGATAATAGTTTATCGGTACATACAAGACGAATTAAATTTATATTTCGAAAACTAAACATTAATATTTTGAAATTGTCATCAGTGCACGCGCATGTATACCAGTTGTGTATTACCGAGTTAAGGTACACGAGGTTAGTGATCTTTATTCCAAATCGATAAAGGATATTAGTATTTATAGACCGATGTCATTACATTGATGGCTGGTCACGATTCGTAATTGTTATGTTTAATTTTTAATTTCATTGTTCCTATCTTATTTCTATCTTTGGAAATTATAAAACCATCTTCTATGATAAAAATCTATCTTGCTTCTGTCCTGAGTCAGTAGGTGTATGCGGTCATGTAAGAGGATTCACTTATCCGGATATTATTGCAAAATGTAGATCTTTTTCATTAACTTGCGTGCACAACTTTTGAACAACGATGTATGGTACACGTGTATCTGTGTATACACGAAGAGTCAGGTTCGAAATACGAACAACACGAGGGGTTTCTTCGCCACGATTAACTCGAACGTAGTGGGGGAAGAAGCACACGATCGCATCAAGCTCGCACCATGAGTTTTCGAACGACAACGGTAAGAGACGGATCTCTTTCCGTGTACCTTCTGTTTTTAACTCTGTGTTATTTAAACAACGATTTTTCTACTTACGTACTAACAACGAATTCGTGTGTGAATAATTTGTGTGGCTCTTTCGAGTGGAATTCGTAAGCAGCAATATATACGTGTGAAAGGAAGACTCCGTTGCTGCTCAAGATTAAAAATGATCTGGTGTAACGTAGGTCGGTGACTTGAAAAATCTTCCTTGCGGTTGCCGATGTAAGGTAAGCGAATGAAACATTTATTATAATTTTTCTCAATAATTTTAATCTTAACTCAACATTTAAACGAATCGCGTAATCGAGTAGATTGATTTAAATGATAGCGATAACAGAGAAAAATGGAAAGTGATTAACAATTTGAATCGCGTGTTATATAAAATGGTTAATTGGTACCTAATACTGTTCTGTTTGTAATTATTTGAATCGTGTGGTATCAAGCAT